AATGAAACTTTCCTTTTTTTTTTGGATTAGATTTGAGTAGGACTACTTTATTGTGATATATGTTGGGTGCAGCATGTGAGGTTTACCAAACTGAAATTGATTGGTCCTGCTAAGAAATAGATCAATCAATGGAAGGTGTAATGAAACAAAAGCTGAAAGAGGAATATCTTCTCACCTAAGATTTTATCATTTGCTGGAGTTTTAGTTAATTCTGGTTTGTTAAGGTTATAAGTAACATTATTTTATTTTTAATTTTAATTATAGAGGATTTCTGAAACAAATAAAAGAAATCGAGCTAAACTTGATATGCTCCACACCACTGGATCAAAGAGTTTTGCCACATTCAGCAGTGAGAAAACAACCAACGGGGTGGAGCCAAACCGCATGGAGCTTTTCATGATGACCCGTAAACACAAGGATGGGAGTTTCGTGGATGAACATGCAGCAGAAGTTGCTGTAAGTATTTTCGATTTCTCCCATTGCTCCCCATGTTTATTGTGTTGAATATTAGATATAAAATGTTTATTTTTCTTCTGATCCTACCAGGTGCCAACTTATAAGATATTGACTTACATCTATGCACATATCTATTCAGTATAATGTTTAACAGAAGCATGATTTTTCTTGCTCTAGAAAAGTTTGTAGTAATATAATTCATTCTAAGAGATGTGAGAATATATTATATTTTTGAACTTTATTCAGAAACTCATGCACAAGTGCATATCCCATGGTAACTTGGGACCATCATTAAAATTTTTTAACTCAAAACATTTGTTATATTCAATTATATGAAAAGTTTTTGTTATCTAACATCTACTATTTATGAAATTTTTATAATTTTATAATGCATACTTTGACTTTGTCTTAAAAGTAATTTTATAGTGCTCATGTATAATCATCAGCTTTGCACATTGAACATGTAATATATGTAGCCTATGTATTTTGGAATAAACGGACTCCATTTGTGGAATTCATTTGGAAATTCCGACTTATATAAAAATTTTTAACTATTAGATGATAGAAATTCTTTACAAAATGATTAAAATTACTATTCAAGATTTCAAACAAAATTGAGAATAGACCTTTTGAATTTATCAAAGCCCATAGAATTTGCACCAGGGAACTAAAAGTTATTTCTTTGTATATTTAGCAAGGGACAAGTAAGCTATTTTACAGAAGTAATTGGAATTTGATTTCTCATTCTGCCCTCATTTTGTCACTACATGATATATGTAATCTATTTATGGTGCATATTTTACAGTTCTAGCTGTCCGAGCATGACTAAAAAATTAGCCAACATGAACACGTTTGAATTATAGCATTGTTATATATTTTCTGAAAAGATTTGACATGAAAGTTCAAATGATTTGTCCTCCAGTGTGTTGACGGGGAACTTTACTTTGTAACAAATGAGGAAAATATTAGATATTTAAAAAAAAATGTCATACTGGGCCATAAACTAGCTAATAAGTAACTAAGGTTTTGCCCATGGGATTCTGTGGTCTGCCTTGTCTCATTGACAAAAAGAGGTTTTTCCATTAGTTACAGATTTTTTTGTAAGGAATTCTCCATAATTGGGATGGTTATGTACACCTTAAAATCATGTAACTTTTGCTGTTTTCTGTGGCATAATTCTTTGAAAATATGTGATTGCAAAACTTTCATGTAAAAATATCATTGATTTTCAGGAAAAATTTGAAGCTCTCATGTCTAGATGTAATAATCGTTCAAAGACCTCGCAAGACACAATATCTTGTGAGGATAACACCTGGGAGGATGAAATTTGCTTGAAGGTTTTTGGTAAAGAGCGCCCTGGTCGTGTACGAGGTCTAGGTTTTGGTCCCACACCTTCAGAGATGTGGGGCCTATCTTCTCGCCGATTTCAATCCATGAGTGTATGCCTAGAAAGTGGTAAAGATGAGGAAATAATTAGGTTGAGGGAAGAGTTAAGAACTACACAAGAAACTGTGGCTCAACTAGAAAAAGAAGCATCCAAGCACATATCTCTGAGTGCAAGAGTTGCATTGTTAGAGGCTCAAGTTGCTGAACTTTCTCGACATGGCCAGTTTGGATCTGCTATGCAGAGAGAGATCCCTAATGAGCATATGATTGCGGGTTCAAGGCCTGGAGAGGTAACAATTTGCATCTTTTTGCTTCTGAGTACAATATCAGTATTCATGCAGCTGCATCATTGTTGTTGACTTAAGGTTCTCAGACTTGCTTTTATTTTTATTGCAAGGTTTGAGTGTGTTTTATGTTGTAAAGTTGTCACATTATATTATAGTGGACTTTGATGGTATATGAGGTGATAAAGAGAAGGAAAAAGTTGATCTCACTTATTCCCTTGGCTATAGGTTATTTCAAAAGAGAGAAAACTTAGGCCTCCTGAGGTTGTTGACTTTCTTTTTTGGGGACTGAAGGGCTCATGATTCTGGACACCATGTTTTTTTATTCTAGGATTTTTTTTTTCTCTTCCAAGGAAGATTTTGGAACCTAATAGATATTTTGAGTGATTTGTAGATATTCTCTTTTTTTTGTGCTTGGGCAACAACTCCTTTGTTACTGTAGAAAGCACTGTAATGGCCGCATTATGCACAAAATGTATGAAAAGGAAAACTTGCAGCAGTAGGTAAAGAAGTTACTGATATGTTTTTATGAAAATAGGTAATTTCATTTGCTTTCTTCCATGCATCTAGGAATAGTAATCTGAGTTGAAAGTTCACTGGAGACTCTTTTCTAAATCCCTAGTGATGAAGGGCAAGTTAGGAAATCTACCTTTTTAGGGATGATAGCACCACTTTGGGGTGAAAATTACTTGTGTACAGTAGCTATGAATAATACAAAAACCTACTATAACAGTACTAGATGTACAAAGCATTTAGGGTTTCTTAGATTTTACCTGCTAAAAGAATAAACTGACATAAGGTTGTTATTAAGTTGGAAATAGTACATGTATTTGAGATACGTATAAATACAAAAAATGAAACTAAGAATAGAATCTAATGAATAAGATATTACTTTATAGGGAAAGACTGTTGAAAGTACCTACCATTTTTTATTGGAGTACATAGGAAGGATTCCTGTTTCTCTAGCACTCCTCTCAAGCTGAAACTTACATAGGCTGAAGCTTGTTACAAATCAAATAAAGTGAAAATAAGAAAAAAAACTTAAAACTAAATTAAAAAACCTCGTCCTTTAATGATTTTCTTGAATTGCTTGCAACAAAATTGGTGAGTTCCACAAAACATTTGTCTGCACCAACTTGCTTTCAACGAAAGCTCAATTGAATCATGCTGAGCCCAACAGAGTATCAAACTTGGCACTTGCCACAAACAATTAGGTATCTGTATGATGAAAAATAACCAAAAACCTTTTGTAATTCACAATCACAAAGTAGGTCCTGTACCCACTTCGCACAGATCTGGAAGGTTCATATTTGACCTGTGCTGACTCAGACAGACTATATATGACATCATAATAATTAAAAAAATTATGCAAAATTTAAAAAAAAAAAAAATCACGGGTTTTCTCTAAACCAGCTGTCCTCCATAAATTTAAATAGAGTCTGCCAAGTCAATAGACTCAATATACTCTTTATTGGATATTTGGGTGCTTCTCTCTAAACCAGCAAACCACCAAGGATTCAAGTTATTACTCATCTCTCTCTCTCTCTCTCTCTCTCTCTCTCTCTCTTTTTTATTAAAATTGAAATAATATGTTAATTTAAGAACATTATCATTATTGGGAAGAAAACCTTGTCTGATGAGAGAGTAGTTATAGTCCTAATGTCTCAACAAACAAAGAAAAATTTTGAAGCAGAAAGGTCACAATCAGAAGGAAATGAAAATTAAGAATGCCGATACATATGCAGAGGAAAGAAAAACGAAAAAAGAAATTGAGGCTACAAACAGAAGTTACAAAGTGAATAACTTTCCTTTTCTTAGATTTTATTAGGTGCTGGTGGAACCATGACATGGTGTTTTTGGAGGTTGGCCGCTGGACTGATTTGCTGGAACCTGGAGGCGTGGGGTCCCCGGTGGTGGTGGGTGGTATGTTTAGAAGGGTAACAATGAAGAATAAAGAACTGAAGAGAGGCTAGGCTATGGTTTTTAATTTCTGTGTATGTATATATATTTATATGTAATTTAATCTCATTTGATATATACATAGGTGGGCGAGTGTGGACAGGTTTCTGAACATACAACCCAAACCCGCCCCGGCCTGATCATTATTTCTGGCCAACCTGAACCTGCCCTGTCGTGGACCTGCATTTTTCATAAAAAAAGAATGCTTCGGGTCCTTTCCAGGTTGGGCGGGTAATGTGGGTCCAGCCGGTGTTGCTGTCTCTAGGCAAATAATGTAAAACCTTAACCTCTTAGCTTCTCTATCAAAATTTCACGAAATTTATTCTTGATCACTTTCTTCATTGCCAATATTGATGGAAACACATAATTTTTGGAGGGTGTGAAATCTAAACTTTATTCTATATTATTCTCTCTTGGCTGGAGTAAACTTGTCAATAAGTTCTGAAATGTTGAATGATATAAAACTTTGATATTCAAGCTTCTCGTTAAAAATATAGCAAAATTTGGGTTTGATATTCTCTTTAATGCCCAACTGATGGAAACATAACTTTTTTAGGGTGTGAAATCTTGATGGGAGGATGAATTCTACATATGGACAATGCACTTTAACATCATTCTTGAGATTAACATCACTAGACCCAGTTAGTAGCTTAGGTTCCTCTATACAGTGAACTACCAGGACTCTTTTTAGATAGTGAAAGGCCTTGAGTAATCCTAAGATCTTTATTCTTAGGAAAACATGACAATTCTTATTGTCCCTTGACTTCAACAGGCTCCTCCTTTTATCCTTTTCATTGATGGCACAGATTTGTAGACACTTATAATTTACTCATCTCTTCTGCAGTTATAGGTTCTAAAGCTATATTCTTTATGCCAAACATAATATGATAGGTACTGATAGTTTCTCATGCTGAGCATATTGATCACAAAGCCGAGACTGACTTAGAAGAATACATGTAAACAGTATAGTAATGATTGCTTCACAAACTTAAAAGATTGTAGGTTCTGCCTGAATGATTGTACTCTTTGAAAGAAATCTTACAAATAGACTCCAGTAATATTACAAGAGTGTTAATGGACTCACCTATTAATGAACTTAATTCTCCAATAGGAAGCTTTTTTAAATTATAAATAATTCCTAGAAAGCAAATAGATCATGATACTAAAATGCATAATGGATTTTGACCAACACTCCCACAATAAAATAAACCCTGCACTTTTAAGCTTGAAGGAATCGGAACAGGAAACTAAACTTCAGTTATAAGCATATAACTGTATTGTACGTATTTATGTTTGTGTGCATGCAACCATGTATAAATACATTCTCTTTTGCACAATGCTAAGGCTGATTTATTACGTATGTGCTCTCTCTTCTTTGGAGATATATGGTTGCAATTGTTATATTATGGTCGATCACATAATTAGACATAACTAATTAGATTAATATACATCCCTATTGCAAAAGCATATTCTACTGGATCCATAAGTCAACTTATTCTTTTCACAGGCTTCAAATGTTTCAAGTGTCTCTAGGGACTCTCAGCCGGGCTCTTTGCAGAGCCATCAAACTCATGCTATTGAGGGCATTATGCATCGACGGTATAAAAGGCGTTCTCGAGTTGCGGCTTGAGGAGCATTACAAGGTAGGATGCAAACACATCACCTTCTGCCTTTTCAAAGGAAAAAAAAACGAAAAAGAAAAGAAAAAAAAAAAAGAACAGCATTAACATCAAACTTGGATAAGTAAAGAATAGTACGGCAAATTGACTGAAAATTCCTACCAAAAAAGAAAAAGACTAAGAAATTACATTCCATATAAAACAGGCTTGGAATCTTAAACGTGTGGGTTTGAGATCATTCCGCCCTGGATTTCACTGGGATGCGAGTTTGATGGGTGGTCATGGTATGTCCACATCTTCTTCCAAAGTTCCTTAACTAAATTATGTTTGTGAAGTTTTAGAATTTGATTAGTAAGTTTAGAATAGGCTTAGTTTTTTTTTTTTTTTTTTTGGTTTTAATTATTGTGTTTTAATATTAATGTATTTTGGGTTTTATCTAGATCGTAGCAAAATTTCTGTGGAGTAAATTTATGAAAGCACTGCCCTAACTATTAGGTTACCTTTGTAAAGATAATCTCATAGGATTGAACTCTACCAGAGCGTTAGGTCTTGTGTGTTTAGTACCAAAAAGTAAGACCAAATTTGAAAAAGAAAGTAAATGAAAAAATTGCTTCTTATTTTTGGGTAAAATAAATTTGTTTCACATTTGGGTACAAAATTTGAAATTCTGGATACTGAAACACCCAGAATTTCTTTCTTTTTTTTTTTTTTTTTTGCTTGTTCTTGCTTACCCTTTTATCCTTAATATGAAAGTCACTTGTTTAATACAGTACTATATATCCACAAATATAGAAGTACTTGATTTGATCTTATACTAATTGCATTTACATTTCAAAATTTTTGGTAAGTTTGCTATTCTTCTGCTATGCAAATAGGTGGCCCCACGATGGACGTAGTTACATGTGATATGTTATTATTTCTGACTCATTTATTAGTACGAGTTGTTTAATATTTTTCTTGAAATTATACACACTTTTTATTTCAAAAAATATATATATTTTTTAAAATTAATTATTAGCATGAACAATGCAATATTTTTATTAAAATTAAAAAAGAATAGTCTGAATCTAATATATTTATTATTTAAAATCAATAATATTATTCTATCCATAAAAAATTAAAAATTAGATATGAAACAGTTCAAGTAACACAGTAGTAATTCGTACATTAAGGTTTTATACTGTTTACTGGTTACCTGAACATTGTTGAATTCAATCCTAGATCTACTAAGTACACCATTGTATTTAGTTACTTGTGTAAGGTTGGTGTAGTGAAAGATGTGAAGGTTGGTAGAAAACAATCTCTATTTCTTCCAGTAACTTGTATGCTTTCTGTTGATGTAACAAAGAGGATATCATTGAAATCAGATTTTGCATTCGGACATGTTTAGGTTTTGTAGTTAGTACATTACCAGACATGGTTTTGAAGGAGCAGATATTATTCTTTTATCTTTTTCTCTTAAAAAAAAAAAAAAAAGTGAGAGAGATTATCCATTTTCAAAATTCCCATGTAATTTATTGTGTTTTTTTGTATGGTAAAAAATTAAAGCCAGGTTTCAGAACATGCATGTAGAGTATTTGGTACTAGTTTTTTTTTTTTTTTCAAAAAAAAAATATATCTATATATATGTATGTATCTTTAAGGATCAAAAAAAAAATATATCTATATATATGTATGTATCTTTAAGGACATTCTTTTCATTTACTTAGCTATGGTTGCATACAATTTAACATGAACCAGATTAGACTGAACAAAGTTCAAGCTGCATTTTGATTCAAATCTTTCTGAAATTCTTCCCCAATTGTTGTACCTTAAGTTGACAAATCTGTCAGAACTATCTTTGTGTTGAATTTTATTTTTAAAATCTTTCTTTATATTATTTGTCAATTATTAAAAGCTACTTTTACATTTATTATTTATTTTTTTTTGGGTTAAAAAAAATATCTATAAATATCTTTAGATACACTAAGGTGGTTTACTCAGTTTCTTTATATTACATTTGCTTACATGTGAACTTGTATAAAAAAAAAAAAAAAAAAAAAAAAGGAAGATTTTGATAATAAATTAAAGGATGCTATTTTTTTTAAAAAATTTTATTATTTATATTTATTGTGACTAGGAGCAGTTGATATAACATTAGGTCAAGAGAGATGCATCATCAACTAAGCCATGTGGTGATACACCTGTCTTATACTTACTTTTTCCCTCTGGGGGCGATCTATAAACTATGCTCAACATATAATATATAATCCGTCCTCTATATTATTTTACAAAGTGCTTGTATGTAGTATATATATATATAT